CATTCCAGGTTTACGGATCAGCAGCTAATGTGCGCCAAGAAACCTTTGCGTGCCATTAACTGCAGGTGTTGAACATACTCGAACGCTAGCAAACGCCCGCACCGCTTTTTAAAGAGGTCCAGTTTCGTCGGCGTATTACAACTGGTATTTCTCAACTACGTTACTGATCGGTATCAAATCCGTCAAGTGAGTTACTGGTACCACAAGAACCACGAGTTTGCCGAATTTATCTTTGTACTGATACGTTCTAACTATGCAAATACGTTTCACATTAAATTTCAAATAAGAGCTGGAAAATAAGTCACTGAAAGAAAGCACCAAGCTGATTTTCCCTGGAACTGCAAACATGCCACATCCCGGGCCCTGACATGAGACGCCAGGAACCGACTACCAAATCTTCAGTCAGCTGCTGCCCTCGTTAAAAAATGAATAACTATGGTATGCTAACGACACTGCGCCCCGGTACTTGTTTTGGGCAGAAAGATCAGCTCAGCAGCACGGCGATGACTTACCGGCGCACAGCCGCGACACTCCTGAGGCGCATCAACACGCGAGGTGCAGTAACCCTAGGCCTCCCCGTCCCAAGTGTAGGCCCGATAATGAGTCTGCTTCCAAGTGGCGAAACGTATGAAAAAATGGAACGAACAGCCTACCTTATCAAAATGAGTGTTTTCTCCATCTGAGAGATAGATCGATGCTGGGTAATTACTGGTCTGCCGTACGAAAGCCGATGAACTGCACTGTGACAGCAACACTGTCTGGTTCTGGATCGATTCACTTTGCATGATGACGCTACCGCTATCAGTAGATCCGGAATACCCGGAATCCGGCTGAGCGGTGTCGCCGTTGCCGAAGACTGAAGACGATGAAGCTGATGCTGCCGCGGGATTATGCTCTGAGAAGACTGCATTTTGCATGAATTTTTGTCGTAGACTTGTTGCGCTGGGAGGCGTTAAGTTGCTCTGACCGTTGCTAAGAATCCGAGCTGCCGCACAACCCGTCATATTGCTTACACTGAACCGATTTACCAACGAGTTTAACTTCGCCCTGAAAAACGGCAAGCAAATAAAGACAGTACTCCGAAAGAAAAAAAATGATTTGTCTGAATCAGTGGGTTAGAGAGACCAGTGTCTCTGCAAATGGCTAAAACACAGTAAACTCCTAGGCCAGGCAATAACCACTAGAAATCGACATTCCCCGCGGAAGGGAGATGTAAAATTAGAGAATTCCCGACGAATTTAACCACACGTGTCATTCTTTCGATGTGCAATCTCTGACTGAAACTCTCACAGCTTGCCAATCGTTGCGTAAGATTTTACGAGGAGTACGGATTGACTTAAG